CTGACGCACGACGCCGAGCATGACGACAACCGAAGACCGACGAGACGCGGGACCCAGGCTTGATTCCACAGACGAGCCAAGAATGCTCTCGAGTGTGGCCTCGCTCCACCTTCGGCCAATGCCCCCTTCGAGACCTTTCCCGAAGGATCTCAACCCAGCATCACGTGCTCCTCAAGCCCCCCTCGGGCCCCCCTCACTACCCTGTCCCGGTCAAGTGCCCTCTCGGGTTCACTCGGGCTACCACGTCCTCACTTGCCCTCTTCTCAGGCCATCACCAGGACTATGCCGCCTGGGGCTGGCTGACATGCCGCACTTACTCTGGTGCTAGAGAGATGCTCCAGACGCACAGTTGCACTCCTGCAACAGTAGCTGGTGTGAACACCCCAGTGACCCCATTTACGTCACTACACATATATAAACACCCATGAAATGGCTGAAAACATCCTAATATATTGAGGACCACAGAGCTTGGGCAATTGTTTTGGTGCTTTCCAACTTTCCTGGCTGCCTTCTGATTTGCACGGACGACATGAAACTTAAAAACACCGTTATGAGTAGTAGTAGTTTATTTTCCCAATAAAACGGCTGATTTGCATTTTATACAAAGTGAAACTTCTTTTCCTCCAACCCTGGAGGAACGCTGGGCTGAGTCGATCTGCCAGTGTATATGCTAGGGATACGAAGTATCGTTGAATCGCGTGCTCTGAAGGATGTTATGTTCATTAGTTTTGTTTTCTGTATACTCATGCCAAGATTTCATTTTTTGAGCAAATCGGCATCTCACCGTTCTCTCACAATGGCTCGTGATTTATGAAGACTTCTGGCTGGAAAGCTATGATCTCAGGCGAGTGGGGCACCCTTCTATCGAAGCCTGCTCTGCCACGCTTCTCTAACTTGGCGTCCGATTTGCCCTCCATTGTGGACGTAGTTACTCGCGACATGTCCGCGTCCGTTCCCTTGTGCATCTGGCGGGCCTATACAATTACTGTTTTCTCCCAAAAAAATACATTCCTATTAAGCAGCTCCCTCTCTCTCTCTCTGTTTAGCCTAATTGTGGTGTCCGATGATTGCCTGGCAGTCCTGTTTCACTCTCAGAGAATTTTCAACCACGGATGCATTGCATAACCTTCCATTCGAGTGGCCAGGGTGCATTGTGCTGCTTGCCTCTCAGGGGAGCCAGCAATAGCCCCTCGTCATACGAGAATGCAGCCCCAGTGGTTGGATGAGAAGTTCAGGCTGGATTCCGAGTGTATTTTTACTCAATCTAGATTTGAAGCTTTCGTGACTGCAGGGATCCATACTCTTTGGTTCTTTCGGTAAAGTCACGTAGGTAGAAAAAATAATACATCGAAACGTCGTGATCGATTATTTTTTCTACCTACGTCACTTTACCGAAAGAACCAAAGAGTATGTATTTATGCTATTCCATTACATTGAATGGCCTCACGTTTCATTCGGCGTTGTGTGGCTTTTCGCGCCATCGTGTCAACCGTTTGCGCTGGGAGCTCAGACCGCCACCTACGTCTGGATTGTAAGTCCAGCGTGATAATCATTACAACACAGTAGCATCCTCCCCCTTTTTGTCGTTTTAGAAAGTGCGGCGCTCTAAAACACTCAGGATGCGCGTGTGCGCAAAAAATCTGCAGCGGAGCGGTTTCTCCGTCGTTCTAGCGCGAGTGAGAGCCCACGCGTGCCTCCAGGGAGGGGCCCTGGTGATGAGGATGTGGCCTGGCGGCGCTCGTTGGCTTGCCGACCCATGGTAATCCGCCTCGTGGCTCTGCGGAGACACGAGACTCTGCCAGAAATAACCTGTCCAAGGAAAAGATTGAACAAGCAAGTTTTTGCGTGTTTTTTTTTCACTCCACGCAATTGAGCAGACAGCAGCATTTGCTACGAGGTGTTATTGAGACGACCTCGGTTAACCTTGAGTGGACTGGAAGGACTGCTACTGCTATCAACTAACTATTCACTATTTTTATTTTACCAGGTATGGCTCACTAGGCTGTATAGCTCTTTTGTCAGAAGCAACCTGGCCACAAGTGATGGCTCCAAAAGGTGGCTTATCATTGGAAATGTGTGGCAGCCAAATGCTGGCGATCACGAGACTCCAGCCCTGTGGCACAGCCATTAGTTAGTGGTCTGGTCGACAGCCGTGTATTGACAAAGGGTTTGATTGCGATCATGTGTGTATGTATGTATGTATGTTGAACTTCTTTTGCACCGTACATATCCAACTTTGCTAATCGGAGGTGCAGGGGAAGGACCACAATCTAAACACAAAAAGCAGTTCGCAAAGAAATGAGTTTTCAATCTAGATTTAAAAGTGCATAGCTCCAGTGGCTTCCTAATATTGGAAGGAAGAGTGTTCCAGACGGCCGCAGAAGCGCAAATGAAATTGCGCGATGCAGTAACCATCTTTCTTCGATGGCTAGCCAAAGCCGCTGCGAGGATGACCAGAGTTTGCTTGACGATTTATGCTCGTTGATGAGATCAGAAAAGTATTGTGATTCATTTGTGGGGCTATATAGAATAACCTAAATAATGTAATTTTTTTTCTTTTTACATTCTCTGAACTATCATTGTCAGCAAGATATTTGGCTCATGGCAAATAATAATAATAGTGATAACAATGGTGTGTGTGACAATGTGAATCAGTAGGCATGTAAAAAATTATCGACCAATATTATTCATAATAAAAGTTTTTGGGTTAGATCGCTTAAGTATAAACGTGTCGTAACCCTTCTAGATTTGAAGTTTTCGTGACTTCAATGATCCATACTCTTTGGTTCTTTCGGTAAAGTCACGTAGGTTAAAACAAAAAATAAAAGATAACAATTGTAGGGGTGTTAAAGAGAGGGCCCGTTATGCATGGCAGCCTATGGAAAACAAACACAGTGGGCGGGGCTACGTAAGTGCACGAGGAGGTGCCCTCTACGACGTCCGAGCCAGACACCCTGGGGGGGGCTGGTTCGAACGTTATGATCCCCCGGGGCCCCACCCCTCAGGGAGGGGTTGGGTATAAAAGGGGATGTTCAAAGGGCTCGAGTCAGTTATGTTTAAGCTAAGGGAAGAAGACTGAAGACGTCTTAGATAGAGCCCTGGACTCCCCTAGTTCGATGTCCTTTTCAGGGCCGGACAGGACTGAGCCAGCGGCGTGGTCCCGAAAGCCAGAGCCGGTGCTCTTGTAAGAGCTGGTCTGGAACTCCGGGTACCGGGCCCGACTTACCAGTGTCGGGCCAGTTAGCCTCCCCTAGCCCATTAGTGGAGGATTCGGGGCTAGGACAGAGTTAGCTAGGGGTGTATCCCGAGTTATACGGGTGAGGGGGCCGATACCCCCTCGAGTGTGTATATGCCCACTGTCGTATTGTGAAATAAATATACGTGTGCCTCAACCTCGGCGTCAAGCGTCTTCACCGGTACTTCACAATAAAAAAAATAAAAATCACGACGTTTCGATTGCAACACAAGCAATCATTATCAGGTGTGAATTTTTTTTTCTAGCTGTGATTTTCACTACTGATGATGATTGCTTGTGTTGCAATCGAAACGTCGTGATTTAATTTAGTTATTTTTATTTTTTTAATATTTATTCTTATTTTTTATTGTTATCTTTTATTTTTTGTTTTCACCTACGTGACTTTACCGAAAGAACCAAAGAGTATGTGTCGTAACCTGCCACTACCCGACACAGCCAACCAGTTAGGCTTGTCACGTTAACAAAACGTGCTAATTGGTTACTATTTCTGCCCACCAGTGCGTTGGAGAGTAAACCCACACCATTTACAATTTGAGTACGACGTTTCGCTGGTATTTACATCGACTATCATCGGGCGATTTACCAGAATTGTGGATGAACGAAAACCGATTCTTGCACTTGAGGTTGAGGTAGACGCTTGTGTGCGTGAGAATGTACGCTTGACAACTCAGCGGATACCTGTAATTCGATGCAAGTGAAATCAATAGGAGGGACTAACCAGGAGACAACAAATCCGACAACACAGATGAAGCAAACAATACGAGATTCTTGAATCGAATTGTGACCAAAATTGTGATATAAAAACAATTGGTTTTAATTGTGACTTAAAATTGTGAAATTGCGTGATTCTCGACGTGCTGACTAACTAGAAATCTTTGTGTGGCCAGAACATGACCCAAATGCGACAACTAATGAAATTCAGTGCAAATGACCATCTTTTGGCCCTTCCTGTTTCATTATTTTCCCTTAGAATGGCTTTTCATGACTCTCGAGGATAAATGAATAGTTAGAAAAAGAGCCTTGACATTTCAAGGTAATGTTCACCTCCCAGGAATGTGATTGTGTAGATAATTGAGTGAAATGCACAAAAAACGGTCCCACTGCATTCCTGAAATGTCAAGAGTGGCTGAAGGCTTTGCAATGTGTTCTAGATTAGCTTGGAACAATGCACACAGTTGTGAAGGCTTAGTTGGGGATCTCTGCATGCACAACATTTCCACTGATCTCGTTATTAAATGTGAACCAGGTGCCACAGTGGTTAGAGCACCCATCGCACCATCCTAACATTGCAATCTCAAATGCCGGTCAGAGGTCAACTCAGCCCGCCATCCCTCTGGGGCCGTTAAATGATTTCTGCTTTTTGGGAAGTCAAAAGTGGTTGTCCTGTAGAGAACCTGGCCCTTCCTATGGGAATGTGGAATTTACATCACCAGCTCAAAGCTGCCAATGGAAATAAACCCAATCCTTGCATGGAGACTCTTGACTTTTTGCAATTGTATTCCACAGAGTATATACATTCATATATAGACACATGTTAAAGTTTACAACATCCCTGTGAACTATAAGACCCATTTTTGAAAATAATCATCATCACATTAATCATCATCATCAGCAGCTATCGTTGTCCATCGCCTGCTGTATGAAGGCTTTCGTTCACCCTGATGCTATATCAACGCGAAAAATATGCAAAGCACGACATACAGCTGTGTTGTAATTGCCCATTGTTGTACTGCACTGTAATTCTATGCGCCCACTTGCATGCCTTCCGCCTTCCCTAACCCGCACTGACCAGTGTGGTGTAGTCTGCTCAAATGACCCTCACGGACCGCACGGCGTGGGGAGGCTGTCGTGCTGCAGTGGGTCGTCAAGAGGGCCGCCGCGCGTTTACGCGCCGACGATGCGTACGATGCACGGTCGGCATGCGGCGCTTGAATCCCCTGCTGCCTGATTGCGCGCTGCAGGTGGAGGAGGGTGGCAAGGCGGACCTTGCGAGCGCTCTGTGCGTTGGGGACGAGGTGGTCGTCATCAACGGCATTCGGCTGAGCGGTTTGCGGCAGGAGGCCATCTGCCTCGTCAAGGGGTCCCACAAGACCCTGCGGCTCTCCGTGCGCAGGTAACACGTGTCACACACACAGTAACACGTGTCACACACAGTAACACGTGTCACACACAGTAACACAGGACACACACACAGTAACACGTATCACACACAGTAACACGTGTCACACACAGTAACACGTGTCACACACAGTAACACATGACACACACACAGTAACACGTATCACACACAGTAACACGTGTCACACACAGTAACACGTGTCACACACACAGTATCACGTGACACACACACAGTAACACGTATCACACACACAGTAACACGTGTCACACACACAGTAACACGTGTCACACACACACAGTAACACGTTACACACACACAGTAACACGTGTCACACACACAGTAACACGTGTCACACACACAGTAACACGTGTCACACACACAGTAACACGTGACACACACACAGTAACACGTGTCACACACACAGTAACACGTGTCACACACACAGTAACACGTGTCACACACACAGTAACACGTGTCACACACAGTAACACGTGTCTCACACAGTAACACGTGTCACACACACAGTAACACGTGTCACACACAGTAACACGTGTCACACACACAGTAACACGTGTCTCACACAGTGACACGTGTCACACACACACAGTAACACATGTCACACACACACAGTAACACGTGACACACACACAGTAACACGTGTCACACACACAGTAACACGTGTCACACACACAGTAACACGTGTCACACACACAGTAACACGTGTCACACACACGGTAACACGTGTCACACACAAGTAACACGTGTCACACACAGTAACACGTGTCACACACACAGTAACACGTGTCACACACACAGTAACACGTGTCACACACAAGTAACACGTGTCACACACACACAGTAACACGTGTCACACACACAGTAACACGTGTCACACACACAGTAACACGTGCCGCACACAGGCCGCCTATACCGCACCTGGGTAACCTATTTTGTGCACCGGTAAGGTACACTATGCACAGGTAAGGGGTGCCATGCACAGGTAAGGCATGTGGTTATATGCATGAATGCGTATTGTTCAGTGTGTAGTCGACTGCATACTCGGTTTACGTTTCAAATTAATCTCTGCAAGAATTAAAACATTCTCAAGCGGATTGTTTCGTAGTTCACATGAACAGCTGTTAAACTTCCCGTGGAATTAAACAAAAAGAAGGTCTTCGTCTGAGAGGTATACGTACTAACAACTGTTAAAATAACTAACAAACGTAACATTAGTGAGCTACAGCTCTGTTTCTCTGAATCAGCCTTGCACCTGTGAGCGTGTTCTTTGTTCCCTTTGTGAGTGTTCTCATGCTTGTGGGCATGGGATGTCTTCCGTGAAGAACAAACAAAAAACGCCTTACACATTTGCTCGTGAAATAATAATGAAGATGGCAGGTTTGAGGAAAATGGGAAAAGGCAGTGCCAGGCCTGAAACAAAAATAAAAACGTTCTCTGGCAGATGCGTGTCTGGGGCAGTGCATGATATGATGGTTGTTAGGCCTGCACAGTCGCATAGCGCATCCTACTATGGGTTATATTCCTGAAATAAATAAAAAGGAACATTTCTTATCAATCCATTTTTCTGGAGGTGGTTGCAGTCACTTCGTGACATTGTGACCCGCACCCAGTCACAACACTTCTCTCTTTCCACGATCAATTCACCTTCTATGTTGGCTTGCTCAATATGACAGGTGGGCATAATCACACTTTGCTACAAACCATCCTCGAATTGACTTGTTACCATGTGCCATTACTTCCACTGGATAAATTTAGTTTTGTTTTCATACACACACACGTAAATTAAATTTGGGCCAGAGACGTATACAAATTGGCAGTACAAAGTGTGAGAATGGAGTATAATTGTGGAAAGTGAACAGTATTTGTCTTCTGGAGAGATTGGATCGTGCGAGAGGAAAGTGGAATTTCCACAAATAGCTCGAGGCCAGCAATGGAGGGAGGCACCACGTTTATTACTTTGATTCAGCATATCACAACCTCAGCGAACCTCAATACTACTTCTCGAAGGTCCCGCTTGGGACAGGCTGTGTGCACGTGGTCTGGGAGGAGACCAGTGTAGCGGTGAGCGCGCTGCGCTACAAACCCGGCGGCCCGGGTTCGATTCCCGCTCTGGGTTAACACCGGTGACGATAATCTCGACCGGTCCTGGGCCTCTCCTAGGTGGACTCAGTCTCGGTGCGGCGTGTAACCATCTCCACTGGGGAGACAAAGGCGGTCGACCATAGTGCTGGCCACCCCCCCCACCCCCACTTGTGTACCTTTCCGGCCTTCATATGCGTTTGCTAACAGCACTTGCCTCAAAGTCTGTTAAGGCTATACAGGGGATCTTTGTCCGACCTTTTGGCAACCTGAGTACCTTAAAAACACTTGAAATCCATGCAGACAGATCAGAAGCGTACTCTATGCACAGTCCTCTATGGGATTATTGTGGTTGGTTTGCACTGCATTAGCGATGGTGCAATGAGTGATTAGTGCACCACACTATGAATCTGGTAAGCGGAGTTCCATTCCCAACCATGGGTAACATGAGTGACGTGCGATATCGGAGCCGATTATGGGTCTCTTCTTCACCAATTTACCCTGACCAGAATGGTGAAGTATGGTCAAACAACCACCATGAGTGACAGTTGGCTTGGGGAGGCTTCGTGATGTGGCCGAGGGCTGTGCACAGATTATGCATTGACTATTTTACTACTCTGCGTTAAGAAAAAAAATATTGGTTTAAATGGTCAACTTAGATTGTAAATGACATTTTATTCTATTAAGATAACAGAGGGAAAATTACAGTTAACAGGTACAGACCCCATTTGTTATACATTAGTTGGCAGGATTACATTTTATTTTGGGGTGCGACGGTGGTGAGATGTTAACTACCTCGCCTGGTATACAGGAGATCGTGGGTTTGATCCCCGACCCTGTATATTTGGAGTTTGCACGTTCTACCCGTATTTGCTTGGATTTTTCTCTGGGTCCTCCGGTTTTCCCCTCCACATTTAGAATAGACATACATTGAGAGTATTTGGCTGCTATACATTTCCACACGATAAGCGACTTAGTTGGGGCTATCACTTGTGGGCAGGTAAAATAAAATATGAATTTTTTGTATTAGATTTTTTTTTATTATATCCTTGCGTTTTTCAAGCCAGGCAAAGAGGAAATCTGGCCACATTTCAAGCATTTTCTGCACGGAACCCACCCTAGGGATGGAACATTTCTAGGAAAAGACCACTGTTTTTTTTACAAGAAAAAATGTACCCCATTTTTCCCCCTCTCCTCCCTGTCAAATTTTGATGATTTATTTTTAGAAAACAAATTCCACACCTTATTTTGATTTTGAAACCCTGTGGATGAAAATGACAAAGTGTGCATTTTTTGGTTTGTCGTCCAACGATGTCGCGACGACGTTCATTGGGTACAGGGGGAGGCTGAAGGACAGTGTAGACAACTCGGAGTTGCTGTGTCAAGCGTGGTGGTCACCATTAACATTTAACAACATGATTATTATTCTAACAATATGACCCCTGTCATAAGAACGTGGGATTTGCACCACTGGTTCAAAACCGCAAATGGGGAGGAGGGGGCGGGGTGATCACATCCACCGCAGTCTTTGTCTGTGACTTGCTAAAGATGAACACTTTTACACCATTGGTACCTCATTTGCCAGTAAAAAATATGATAATTGTTTTTTTACCCTTTTATCTGGCAACATAAATAATCTGGCAAAAAAGGTGTCAGTTTTGTTGCCAGATAAAAGGGTAAAAAACCAATTATCATGAACACTTTAGTTTTTTATCTGAATAAGGAGGACACACGCACGCACACTCGGGGGGCATGGGCGTGGCACCCGTAAGCCAGGCACCTTGCCTTCCACTGCCCCCTCTCCAATGCTGGCGCAAAGGGGGGGGGGGCAGTGCAGCAGAGAGCATCGCGGGGGCCCCATTAAAAAACACAGTGGCTATTGTAACGTGAAGTGCGACGGAAAATCCATTAGTGTGCGCGTGTGCCTCCCTCCACGCCCCCCCCCCAAGCCACACTTGACCAATGGCTTCTTCCCTTTTATGAACAGCGCTTTTGTCAGCCGTTCGTATCGTGCGCCGAGGTAGCCCCAGATGTGTTTGCTCTTTGCGATTCTGCCGGATCTTAGTGGGCATAATGCCCGTGGCACAGGACGACCGAAGTTAAAGGCTCTGCAGGTTCGCGTTTACATTTTCAATTTAAAATGGCAAGCACGTTAAACGGTGACGGTGGTCATTCGCTGATCTCCCAACGCGAAATTGGGCACGGGCTAAGCCTTTTGATTTCACTTGGTGAGTGCCGGCTTGTGTGGTTGTGGGAAATGCAGATGCATACGCACACGTTAGCTTGCGAAACTAACTCAAATTGTGTTGTCATATATTTATTTTCCATTGACTGCACCTGGGGTCTTCAAATTATCCAAGACTACGGAGTCCCTCCACGCGCAGTGAGCATCCGTTTTGAAGCATAATAATTCTACATACTATAGCGACAGCGTTCACATTTTAACCACATTTTAATAGTATTAATCACCTGTACAGTATTGCCATAAGCATGAAGGAAGGTGTAGATACTCCCACCTCTTCCAAGATGTCTGACCAGTATGGAAGAGTAGGCCAAGTATCAGCTAACAGGATACATAGCATTTTCAACAGATTTAAATGCATACGATGTGCCTATAGCAAACCACTGATTATGCTGTATTCGTATTGAACTCAGTAATTAGTCTACGTCACTAATTACGAGCCAATTCTTGGCTTTATCTTGATCATCGGTGACCTACACCGGCCGCCGCTCTGGGATGGGAGGGCTATTGGTCGGCGAGCGTTTGAAGGACGTTGATTTTCGAAAACTCGGCCAAATATTCGGCGCAAACATTGTCGCGAGAGCGGTTCTCGCGGCTATAATGGGAAACGTTTGTTGAGCGAATGGCTCCGACAGACTTGGATTTGCCATAGTTT